CTAAAGAAACATCAGCATCATACAGGTAAACCGTGTTCACACAACCTGTGACAGTTCAGTTCAGACCTGTTCATTCCCCTAATTAGCCCAGTGAGAAGGTGAGGAGAGCGAGGCTCAGTATGTTCTCTAAACGTCTGTGTGTATGAATACGCTGTGAAAGCACAGCAGAGCTTTTTATTTCTGCTCCAAATGTTCCCCCTTATCAGTCTGCCATCCAGCTGGCCTAGACACTGACCACACCTTTACAACGCATTAGCTACCTCACAGTTCCTAGCTTGAAGGAACATTTAGTCATTTTCAGCCTGAGCACTCAAATATTCATGAACACTCAAAGAACACTTTGCATGATTAAATGGTTCTCTGCATGGGGAAATGGTTTTCAGATTGATTGTAAAGGGTTCTATATAGCACTAAAAAGGGTTCTGCTATTGTTACAATGTCAAGCTTGTAACAATAGCAGAACCCTTTCAAAAAGGTTCTATGTAGTACCACATACAAGGTTCAGTATACAATATACAAGACTACATTAATATAAGTAATTGTGATGTAAACTGAACTCATGTTGACTTCAGTCAAAAACGATGAGGACCTAATTCGAAGCTACAGTTCATTCAAAACTGAACACTGAATTGTATTAATACTCCAGGTCTGAGTGTTTTTCTGTGTGTGGAAAATTAATTGCAGTCTCAGAATTCCACCCGTATCCTGCCCTGAGGTAAACAAGCCAATACGGTTTTCCTTTGTACACTTTTCCATTGAGCGTCATTGGCTCCTATGAATTATAATGTCATTAAGTAGTCTAAATATGATTATTGGTACCATGCTAATCCATGGTATAAACATGCTAACACATTGAAATGACACTGCATTGAAGTAAGTCTAATAGTGTAAAACGCCGCTGACTTCTCTGGGCTCAAGCTCATCTGAAATGGACGGATGCTCAGTGGAAGCATATGTTGCGGTCAACCTTTCAGACTATTTATGAAAATAACAGACGTTGTGTGCAGCACTTCCTGCTGTAGTCCACTTGGCAACAACACCAGCCAATCAAAGTGAAGGTGCTACAGCATCTATCAATATTTGGATTTCGACTCATTAACAACAGCATAATTCAGAAAACCTAGAGAGATTTGAAGGAAACACGTACAAACTGTAGAACAAAACAAATCAACTTCTGAGCATTTCTGTTTATCAGGGTGGAACAAAGGTGGTTTTTCAAGAACGTCATTTATTTTATAAGTATAAGTAGATAAACTTTAGGAGAGGTCCTTATATGGGCATTGTGTGTTTGATTGATTAACACTCACAAAGTGGTTAGAAGTGTCACATGGTTATGTAAAAATGCCTGAAAACAGTGCAGCGTTGAGGTAAATAACATACAAGTCAAAAATAATATTAAAACAGCAAAGAAACACTCCTTTCACTTCTTTACAGTCACTCATGCATTTCAACAGTTCATATATTTGTGCTTATTTGTGGATCAAACACTGATTTGTGAGCACTACAAATACTGTGCCTGTTTTTTTTTTTATTTTCCAGGCGCTCTACACCCTCATTCATCTTTTGCTGCACCTGAAGCAGAACAGACCAGTACAAAATAACAAATATCACCAATATCTGTGCATGATAATAACGAGGCACTTCCAAGACAGAACTGCACCACTCCTGAAAAACAGAAAAAAATGGAATTGGTAGGGCATTGGAAAAAATACATTCTTGAAATTGTACAAACCCAATTCCAGAAAAGCTGAGTAGGTAAAATGCTTGGACACAGTGATGTCAATAAAGACTGTCCATTGCTGCATCACAAATGCAGGTTAAGGCTGTACTACACACAGTGGAAGTCATATATCAACAATGTCCAGAAACGCTGCCGACTTCTCTGGGCTCAAGCTCATCTGAAATGGACTGATGCTCAGTGGAAATGGATATAGTGGTCAGCCTTTCAGATTGTTTATGGAAATAATGGATGTTGTTTTCTCTGGGACAAAAAAGTAAAGGCCTTCCAGTGAGTAATCTGTGAAACCATAATTAACACTGAACTCATTATGGAGCAACATATCGTTGCTGTCCAGTGAAAAACATGTATCTCCATTTTTACTTTTTTGCATTGTTTGAGCTTATCAGCTGTCCTTTACACTGTGTGAAAATTTCATGATGACTGGACAAATAGAAATGCTTCAGAATTGCTTAGAATAAAAACTTTTTCCATTGACTTACATTAAAAGTAAAGAACGTTTTTGCCCTCTCCTGTAAAGTTATTTTGGAGATACTTGTTTTTCATTGGACAGTGACGATATGCTGCCTTTTAGATGCCATCATTTTCAGGGACACCTAAGCTTATTTCAACATGATAATACAGTGTTATCCGACAGTGCGGGTGCTAGACTGGCCTGCCTGCAGTCCAGACCTGTTTCCCACTGAAATAGTAAATGTATCTTACTAAGACAAAATACCACAACAAATGATCTGCACTGCTGCACAGCTGAAGACTCAGAACAGGAGAACAGCAAAAAGATACACAAAACTGGATCAGTTTGTGTCTTCAGTCCCCAAATGATTTGAAGTGCTGCTAAAGGAAAGGTGATGTAGCACAGGGCTAAACATGCTCCTGCTCCTTTTAGGAATGTGTTGCAGGCATCAATTTAGATTGAGCATATATGTATAAAAACCTATTCATAAGGCAAAAGCTCAAGTATTTTGTTTTTTTTTGTACTGTTTAAATTCAATACAGCAAACAGAATTAACCAATCACAGCCTTCTGTTTTATTAGCACACTGCCCCAGTGTTTCTGGAACTGGGTTTTGATCATTTTCAAATACAATGTGTAAAGTTAGTAAGACCAGAGTAAACATGACTGAGGAAGAGGAAAACCTCACTAACCAGTTGTCGGTGAACAATCACAGACAGATGCCGATCTTCTTTTTCCTGTCCTTGGAGTCGTGCTCTCGTTTGGCCAAACGGCGCCTCAGCTCCTCCGGCATTCTCTCATAGCACTGTTTACACACAGGCTTCAGATCCAGCTCCACAAACTTATCCCTGTGAGGTTTCCAATGTGGAGAGACACAACATGAAGAGGGGGCAGTCAAACAGAACGATTTCTGAAATGGGCAAAAAGCATCCTGCATAGCAGAGCTGGGTGATTATTGATAAAATTCAATATCCTGATTTTTTCCATATAGGCCTGTATCAGCTCACAGTATGGCAGTATTAGATGATTGTATTGGCATTGATAAAGTTAATGAGCTCATACTTCCTCAGTGCTGGAACGCTACGACCTTAATGTCTCACAAAACTGATGCAGCTGGTTTGTTCTGTTTTCTTTTAAGCTCCAAAGGGAGTTTTACTGGGTGTATTTCTACCTGATTGACAACAACGATACACACGTTTCTCAATTTTTTAATTTCACACACTCTTTTTTTTCAAAATGTTTAAAAAATGTATGGTAACAGCATACTGCAATTTGCCATATTTCTACAGCAATGCTATAGGAACACTATATATTCAAGATATAAACAATAGAAATAGAAAAGAATCCTGAGGATTTTATTTATGTAATCATGCAGAAATGTTGTTAGAAGAGGAAAAAGAGAGACCAGCAGACGGAGAGGAATATCTAAGCCACGTCACATACAAAAATGTGCTGTATCCTGCAGTGAAATATCGGCTCCTGCGCCCAATAAGTGCATCATATTACTAACAGATAGATGTTGGTGCTGTAGTTATAGATGCTGACTGGATCTCATTTTCTTATACAACATTTTAAATGTTAGAGAGGCTGGCATGGTGTCAGGGCAGAGTACAGCACCTACAGACTATGCAGGGTGTAATGCTTTAAAAATATCTAGCAATTCCAAATCAATACTGTAGCTTATTAAAAGAGTGATGCTGTATGCAGACGGTCAGATCTGCTGTAACTGAGCTGCTTTTTGTTCAACAAAGTGCTGTTAAAAAGGTGAGCAGTTTGGGTTTAAATAGACATTCAAATAAAAATCTGCATTATTAAACACTCCATTAATCACAGTCATCAACAGAGAAGGTCAGTCTAGATAATAAAGTGTATTATCATGTCAGCACAGAGCCGTGTGGTTCTAGGTAGCGTGCAGGACTAAAGGAACACTTACTTGAGGGTCAGTTTGGTGCTGCAGGTGGAGCAGGCGAAGCAGCCGATGCACCAGGCCTTATTCAGCGCTGAGATGACTGAAGGAGCAGAGAACAACACTGAAAACCACACGATTTAACCTGCAGAACAACGTCTGCTATTAACACTGTACATCCTGCTGTCACATCTCTCCCTGGCTCCACCACTCCCATCTCCAACTCCCAGAATCCTCTGGGAGGTCACCTGACTCTGGACTCCATATAATCCACCTATCAGTGTTCAGCTTCACCTGATTATTGACTCTGGGCACCTGTTACTCAAGTCATGTGTGTCATTAGTGTCAGTATGAAGCGCTGGGCTTTTAGCTCAGGTACGTTGTGAAGTACCGTATCAGACTGACCGTCATTACTGAGCCTTTTATTCTGTGTCGTTCTCCCGGTTTGTGACTTTGTTTTGGTTTTTGTGTTCACCCTTTTTCCTGACCCCTTTGGACATTCGTGTTTGGACCCTCTGGCTGCCTTTCGGCCTTGTTTATGTCTCACCCACGTACATCTGTTTGCCTGTGTGTGACCCTAGCCTGTTTTTGGATTCCGCCTCTGGTTTGTTCCCCTATTAAACCTTTTATACAACAGCCTAGTCTGATCTATTTGAGTGTCTGATCTATCCAGACCCCAAACACCTACGACGAGGAATTAAACACCACGTGCACAGACTGAATGCTGGAGAAGTGACACATCAAACACAGCTTCAGTCATATTTCCTTCAAATTCAGAATGTCTGGTCTGGGTGTGAACAATATGGAGGAAATACATCATGAGACTTGAAGCCATTTTCACCTGGACAGGTGTAGCCAGAGCTATAACAATGGGCTGGCCAGGTTAGACCCAGTGAATTTATTAAAAATTAAAATGAAAGAGCAGCTAATAATGTTCTTCTGTGGGTGTTTTAGGGCTACATTATTAAAATGATGTCACAGATTACATAACTGAAACTGCACAGAGGCCTAATTTTCAGACGAATCACATATTAACAAGAACTCAAATAAAATAATCAATAATCATCACTGTTACTGCTGAAAGTAAACTTGGTGTGTAATATTTTTCTTCAGTGCATAATGTTGACTTTAAGTTACCATTTTAGGCCACAGAAGCTGCTGATTTAGGCTGCCCTCTGCAGGTTAATCATGAGTCGGAATGACAGAGTTAGACTAACAGCTCAGACAACGTTATAAGTTGAAAATCTTTGTCTGGGTGATGAGCTGACTGAGCTTCAGCATGAAGGTGTTTTATTCACATAGACAGGAATTTGTTTACATGATGACAAATGGAAGTTATGCAGATTAATTTTGCATAGTTTACACATCTTAACTTTTTTATAAGGTTCATTGAAAAATATTATTGTTTCATTCTTTGTATTATTTCTACTACTGAACACTTTATTGATTATAAATGATCCACACAGAGCATGATAAACAACAAAACAAAAATCCTGTGTTACACTGACGTAAACATGTGTTTCCTGCTTTACTCTGTAAAATAAACAAGACTTGTGTTGCAGTTTTGATCAGTGTTGAGTTGAAACACAACAATCCAGTACTGGCAGATTTAATGATGAGATCAAACTCAGTGTTTCACATATTACACATCACTGGACTCTAATAACAGCTATAATAACAGGGGCAGTTGTGGCCTCTGGGGTTCCTGGTGTTGCCTGCATTGAAATTTGCTGCCTCCCAACAGAGAAACCAGCTACGCCATTTCTCTAATCCCTTTTAATTAAACTAAAGCAAAGTTAATTAAATTATCAAAGCAAATGTTTATGTTTACACTTTTAAACATTCTATGTTTGAACACAACTTGTATTCTTTCATCTCACCACTTCTTGGAGGGAACAAACTGGAATAGTTGGAAAAGAAAAGTCACTAAATCATAGAAATATTTGAATTGTGAGGAGTGCTGCTCACTTTCTATACAGGAATTAGACTTAAACACTGTAAATAAATCATGCTGATCATTCGCTTCACATAGCAACAAGCAGGTTCACTGATTTTACTCAGTCAAATAAATTCTGTCAATCAAATAAAGCAAAGAAAAATAATTTAGATGAACAAAAGCGCCATTTTTTCATCAATTCAAATCAACTTCTGCCCTAAATTTTAAATAAATTAAATCACAGGATCAAAGAGCAAAGAAGCAGCCATACTACACAGCTGTAGTATGTACAGGATTTAGTCTCGGTTTGGTGTCCTACCTTCTCCTTCAATGACGCGGTTACAGTGGTGACAGACGTCTCCGAAGAGCTGAAATGATTGTAGTTGCAGTTAAAATCAGAGCTGTCTGTCTCAACACAAGCAAACAACATGCAAACTTTCTATCTGTCTATATTTCTCTCTTTATACATCAATTTAAAACAATATGGAACCTAATTTAAATCAGTATAGACACATCTGTGTTGACTGTTTAAATATTTGTTTTAAAAATATTGTTTAAAGACAAAATAACTAAGAAAGAGTCCTAATTTAAGCATCCAGGTCCAAAAGGTTTGCCATACCTGATTGTAGTGAGTCTCACAGTAAGCCTGGCCTTTGCGCTCATAATGACGATGACCCAGGAAGGGTTTTTCACACTTAGCACACACGAAATGCTGCAATAAACACACACACACACACACACACACATTATGCATTGGTATATACTGTGGTAGTAGAGCACATCAGCAGTGCATCATGTCGATCGTTCAGCTCCTGAATGATCTGCAGTCTGAGTTGAGAGCAGAATGAGGCTCGACCCAATATTACCGTAGTGTTCCTAATAAAGTGCTCGATAAGTGTATGTCTAACGGAACTCAGCTAAGTATTCATGTAGCTTAGGAGAGAGGTCTAGTTTGGAAAAAATATCAAACGTGTATTATATAGTATTTAAATATTTTCATTTATGGTGATCTAGAACTGCTCAGAACGTAACTCAGGTTCTCGTGCTCTGTGTAAGAATGTGGTTTTACTTAACCAGCTCTTGACTGACCGGCTCAGCATGTAGCTCAGACAGCTGAAAGGCTAAGAGGCTCTTTCATTAATATTCAGGTTTTTAACCCCTTAAGATCCCAGACTTGTTGCAAACTAAGGCTTGTTATTCAGTATCTACAGGGACTGCATGTCTTTGGACTGTGGGAGAACATGCAGACCCCACACAGAGAGGACTCTGGTCACCCGGCCAGGGAATCGAAGCCAGGCCCTTCTTGCTGTGAGACAACAGCGCTACCCACTGCGCCTCTACATGAACAACATATTTAAATTCTGTAAAACATACATGTAGTATATTCTTGACTTTGCTTTGTAGTTTTTCAGTAAATTCTTCTGTAAATATTTTGACTTAACCTGTTAAATGGCCATCCCAGCAGGATTGATGCTCTTACTGATACTTCAAATCATAGTTAAACGTTCAAGGGCTTAAAAGCCTCTTTGTAGCCTACTGTCATGTGGAGCTCTCTAGTTGACCACAAGAGGTCGCTAGTGACACTTTTTATTTATAAACTCGGGTGTTTCTGATCAGTATCTATCTATTCAACACTCCAAGGGCCCACATGACAAACACATCCTCTACTTCAGCCACTGTGTGAACTGAACAGTGTGATCACCTCCACATGCCACTGCTTGCCCATCGCGTTCACCACCCTGCCCTCGATAGGCCTCCTGCAGGCGCCGCAGATCGGCACGCCCATCTTGTCATGGCACGGCAGGCAGTACAGCTCGTTTTTTAGCTCTCTGGCATCAGCGGTCAGCTCCTTACTGTGGACAAAGAGTCAGCAGCGTCAGAACGGCCCATATTACACAACTTTGATTTATTTTCATGTGACCCCTGTGTTTCAAGATTATGGCTGGAATATCTGGTCGTTCATTACTGTTTCAGCCAGTCAAGAAACCGGTGCTCATTTTATGTCCCATCTAACGTCTCATTACAACATTCTGACCCAACATGAAGTTTATAGCTGCCACTTCAGCCAACTGACACTGAACGTGTAGCAAGAACAGGAATATTATGAGCAATCTGTCATTAATCTGTTATTAATCTGTCATTAATCTGTTATTAATCTGTCATTAATCTGTCATTAATCTGTTATTAATCTGTCATTAATCTGTTATTAATCTGTCATTAATCTGTCATTAATCTGTTATTAATCCGTCATTAATGTGAATGAACCTGCATCCTGAAACGACCTGCATGCACACATTCTTATCAGAATCTGGTAATGAATCAAGTTCGTCATGATTAGAAACAAACCAATCAGCAGAACAGGCCTTCACAGATAATCAGCTCTGAAGAGCTCTCGGCCGCTCATCATTAGAGCGAGATGAAGGTCAGAAAGGGTCAGATATGATGCTTTTCCACTGTTTACCAGCGCTAACTTCAGGTTCCGCGCTGCTGCTATGTTAACGCTGAATGACGGCGCACACGCAGTGGAAAAAAAAAAACATTATTCTGATCTGAGTGTCCTCATTAGAGTCAAAATGGATAGTGACTCAGAACTGATTTGAAAAGATCAGATTTGTGTGTCCACACTGATCTGGACACATCAGATCTGTGTCACATTAAAGGGGAATTCCACCGATTTTTAGAAAATTCTGCTAATTCAGTCATTCAGATGTAAACAGTCATTCAGAGTGGTTTGGTTTTAGTGTGGAGGGGCTCAGATTTCTTTACAGTGGTGGTGATGGGAACCAGGCGTTGTAACGCCTAATAACATATATTCATTTACTGTGTAAAACCACCAGTGAACCTACAGGTGTCTTCTTAGCTTTTACATCGCTGCTGTCGGAACAAAACCTCGTACCTCCATTTTTGACGTTTTTCAGTTTTTGACATAATATAATCATTTAATTTAAAAATGCCTGTTTCCCTTTATATTGTGTATAAATTTCATGATGAATGGACCAAAACATACAGCCCAAAATGAAAAAGTCTGGTTCCTTTGACTTACATTAAAAGTAAAGTATGTTTTTTCCTCCTCCTGTAAAGTTACCATTTTGGAGATACGAGATTTTGTTCCGACAGCAGTGATATGTAATGTTGTTGATGGTAAAATAGTGGCAAATCAGAAAAATAAAAAGTTTTGTTTGGGGACTATTTTGCTTCACAGTGCCCTGCATGTACCTTTCCACCATGAATCTATTAAACAAAATATGTTTTAAGCTAAAACCTGATCTCAAAACTATTATAATACAATGTCTCAGTCACCAAGCAAAGTATTTCATTTAATTACTCTGTGAGGTGCTTTTAGAGACGTTGAACGCTTCTTCAGACGTCTGGTTCCCCAATAAGTTTCTATAGGGCGGAGCATCTCACACCAAAACCACTCCGAATGACTTTGTTTACTTGCAGTAGCTTAATTATGCAGAAATTTTGGAAAATTGGTGGAATTTGTGCCACTTCAACCTAATGTGAACATAACCAGTATCTCCTCCCTCTGAGGAGACTCCCTTTGGACCTGCCCCATTATGCACTGGTTCATTCCAGATGTTTGGATCTGTCCTATAAAGCCACTCAGCTCATGCAGCCGGCCTACACGCCCTGTTCATTACATCAAGTGATTAAACTGCAGACTAGACGCTGAAAATGCCTCTCTGGTCTTATGGGAGTAAATGAGAGGGCCTGTGTTCCTCCTTTAAAAAGCTGAATGTGGACACTCACCCACAGTTGCTGCAGTTGAAGTGGTCCGGGTGGTAGGGGTCACTCTTGAAGACCAGGGGCTGTTCATCAATGATGGCGTGACACTTCTGGCAGATATACTTGCCAAGGCTGCAGGCTCTCTCACGGTTGTGGCACGGACGACACAAGTGCCTGTGAGCAGTTAAGGCATCATTACACAAACTTCAGGTCTTTCAGGGATGATGTTCTACCAGGGTGAGGAACCTCCTCTGCACAGCTGGTGAACCTCCTATTCAATAAACTCCTAATTCCTGCCAGAGCAGGAAAATCATCAAACTGTGCTGGGCTTAGTTCCCCAAACCTGCATACACCATATACAGTACTATCTCACAATCCAAGTAATCCAAAATACATTCAGCGATGTTGAGGTCTGGACTCTGGGGTGATCAGTCCATTGTTCTGAGAACACCAGCAGCTTTTGTGATTGATTTTCAAATTTTCTTTTTTTGGTCTAAAAACTCACTTCTAAAAAACAGAAAAGGGACATTCAGTAAAGGCCTTGACCTTCATTAACAAGAAGGCTTATGAGGCTCACTATTTTGCATCAGCAAAAATCAGACAGTTTAAAAGTAATACTCCTCAGCAAAGGATTGTAAGTATTTGCAATCATGATAATATAAAAATATTCAGGGAATCTGGAGAAATTCTGGATCTGTGCATAAAGGGCAAGGGTGAAAACCACAATTTAATGCCCATGACTGACATGTTTCTGTGATAGAGATCACCACATGAGCTTGGGAAGTTAAGACTGTACTCTGCACAGCTGAAGTCATATATCAACAGCATCCAGAAACACTGCTGACTTCTCTGGGCTCAAGCTTATCTGAAATGGACTGAAGCTCAGTGGAAACATGTTCTGTGGTCTGACGAGTCCACATTTCAGATTGTTTAGGAAAATAATGGACAGTTCTTTGGGTCAATGAAGCAAAAGACCACTAAAATTGTTCCCAGCATAAAGTTCAAAAGCCAGCATCTGTGATGACTGGGGGGGGGGGTATTGGTGGGTAACTTACACAGCTGAACACATTTTGGGGGAACATATGCTGCCTTCTATCTCTAACTTCTAAGAAACATTCTGACTGTGGGTGCTAGGCTGGCCTTCCTGCAGGCACCCCCTGAAAGTGTGGGCAAAACACAGCAATGAGGGACCTGCATGAACACACAGCTGAAGACTCTTATAACACAGAATGGCAAGAAATTCTGCTTTCAAAACTGGAGCAATTGTTGTCTTTTGTCCCCAAATAAATATTAAGTGCTGTCAAAGGAAATGTGATGGAAAACTTTTTTGGAAAATGTATGTTTACAAAAAATAATGTTCGTAAGGCCAAACATAAAATATGAAACAATTATTTTAAATTTAATTTCGTACGCTCAGGTTATATATATATTTTTAAACTGGTTAATCACAACTGTCAACGCCCACATTGCCCGCATCTTAATTTGCTCCGGTTGAGTTATTTTCCTGACATTATTTCGACTCAGACAAATGATATTTATATTAGAGAAGTAGTTTTGTGAATAAAAGTCCATCTGTACATCAAATCCAGTGCGTACTTCACTCACCTGCCTGCATTCTTCGCAAAACCAACGTCAGCGAGCACAGCCTGGCAGATATCACAGCAGAAGCAGTTTGGATGCCAGCTGTTGTTCATGGCCTTAATGACGCGGCCGATGATGAACTCCCCTGTGACAGAACTCACACGTCAAAACTGCTGCAGACGTAATACAGCATTAATAACACAAACACACATGACGGACACCTCAGAGAGACATAATGATCAACTGAAAAAAAAACCCTCATACATATGAAGGCATGAGACATCAAAACATTCTGACATTTAAAAATAACTGATATCAACTTCATGAAAATACTCACCACACTGATTACAGCAGGGAGCAAACAGCATCTGGAAATCGTGCTCGCAGTACTTTCGGTCCTCAAACTGCGATGAGCAAAGAGACCATTTAAAATTTAGGTAACTTAAAAAAAGACATGGCGAAACATCCACCCCTCTACTGGCCAAAGATCCAGACTCAGGACTTTCATCTTTAAGACACTTGAAGTGCCCGCTGTCTGGACTGTTCTTTAACTGGGTTATACAGTTTGTATAGGTATTACTTGTATATATAGATCAATATAACACCAGCACTTTGATGCTTTTTGCACAATTCTATCATTTGCACTTCTGTTAGATGCTAACAACATTATTGTCTACAGACATACAAATGTGGTTTCTGCAGGTCCTCAACTTCAGATCAGATCATAATTATTCTATTATGTCATTGCTGTTTATTAAGTCTGTCTGAATCTGATAACTAACAGAACTTCTCAACTGAGTGACTAATTAAAGGGGAACTCTACCAATTTTTCAAAATGTCTGACTGTGTGAGACATAAATTCAGAGAGGTTTGGTGTGAAATGGTCCAGATGTCTTTACAGTGGTGGTGATAGGAACCAGGGGTCGCCATGACTACAACACAAATATAGACATTTTATTTACTATCCAGAACCACCAGTGAACCTACACGAGTCTTCTGAGTTTATATGGAATGTTGATGATGGAAAATAGTGGAAAATCTGAAATAATAAGTTTTCTTTGGGGACTATTTTGCCTCACAGCGCCCTGCATGTATCCCTTCCACCATGAATGGAGTTTAAGTTCTCTAAACTATCATAAAACAGTGTCTCAGTCATCAGGCAGTGAATTCATAACCATTTCATGTAGGAACTTTCTGTGAGGGAGCTTTTAGAGGTGGACGTCTGGTTCCTATCACCACCACTGTGAACATTCTGACTCAGTAAGTTTCTCTAGAACAGGGCGTTTCACACCGAACCGCTCTGAACCACTCTGAACCGCTCTGAACCACTCTGATTACATCTTAACTAATTATGTAGAATTTTGAAAAATTGGTGGAGTTTCTGTTTGATGAGAACATTTTAATTTTAAGTACCTTTAAATGAGCTACTACAAAGCCTTTACCTGCTGTCTGACATCTACTCAAAGCACCTGAGCGTGCTGTATTTATCAGTTTAGGGTCACAGACCTCATGGTGGTTTATATTTAGTGTGTTTTCGCACCCCCTGCTGGCTAAGCACATCATCACAACACAGAGATACAGACAGTCCCGTTAGCTTGGTGTGTGTTCTAGAGTGAGGGAACATCATCACCAGGCCGAGACTAACACTAACAGTCTTGAAGGTGAGGAATGATTCCAGCTCTGTTGATGACACTGTGTAAGGACAGCTGAAGAAGAGCAGCCCCACCTCGTAGAACAGTCCATCTGGAAACTGCTGGAAGCACTGAGCGCACACAAAGCACTGCTCATGGTACAGCTCCCCGTTACTGTTCACGATCCTCTCAGCAGGGGAAAAGCCGGCCTTGCAGAGCTCACACACGGCATTGACCAGGGCGTTCGCCATGTTACTGCAGGAGGAAAAGACATGCACTTTGTCAGGGACACAGGACTGTATTTCAGGACTGCACCTGATAAAAATAATAATATGGAGATCTGAACTTTTAATAATTTGGGTGTAGCAACGACCTGTGTGTGTTTGTTTTAGAGAGGAGTTTGTATTTTTATTTTCATTTATACACTGATCAGGCGTAACGTTCTGACCACCTCCTTGTTTCTACGCTCATTGTCCATTTTATCAGCTCCACTTACTGTATAGGTGCACTTTGTAGTTCTACAGTTACAGACTGTAGTGCATCTGTTTCTCTGATACTTTGTTAGCCCCCTTTTACCCTGTTCTTCAGTGGTCAGGACCCCCATGGACCCTCACAGAGCAGGTACTATTTGGGTGGTGGATCATTCTCAGCACTGCAGTGACACTGACGTGGTGGTGGTCTATTAGTGTGTGTTGCGCTGGTCTGAGTGGATCAGACACAGCAGTGCTGCTGGAGTTTTTAAACACCTCAGTGTCACTACTGGACTGAGAAGAGTCCACCAACCAAAAATATCCAGCCAACAGCGTCCTGTGGGCAGCGTCCTGTGACCACTGATGAAGGACTAGAGGATGACCAACACAAACTGTGCAGCAGCAGATGAGCTATCGTCTCTGACTTTACATCTACAAGGTGGACCGACAAGGTAGGAGTGTCTAATAGAGTGGACAGTGAGTGGACACAGCATTTAAAAACTCCAGCAGCACTGCTGTGTCTGATCCACTCAGACCAGCGCAACACACACTAACACACCACCACCATGTCAGGTCAATGAGCGTAGAAACAAGGAGGTGGTCAGAATGTTATGCCTGATCGGTGTGTATATTCTCTAAATCTGCAGTAGCTGCACTTTTTAGTTAACTCTGTATTTTCATTACAGTGAGCCGAATCGCTTCCCTCGACCGCAGCTGGTCACTTTGGAGGTTCCTCGCCAAAACACACAGGTTGAGGTGCAAAGAGAGAGAATGTAGAGGTCAGTTCTGAATCTCAATCACCCTCCAATACTGTTTTAGACTTTAGAGAGAATCATACGGAGCCCTGCTGGTGACGTCCCACATGAATAAAAATAATGTGTGGCCTTATTAACACGTGGGAACAAGATCCTAAAGCGTGCCCACGACTTAATTATCTTGTTCCCACGCCTTACTAAGTTGTGGTCACACACATGGTTCTTGTTCTCATGCTTTACTAAGTTGTGGCCACGCATTATTTTTATTTATACACACTGTCACCAGCGAGGCTCCGCAGGAATCAACTTATGTAATAATAACACTTCGTCCACCGTGTCTCCCACAGTGTGAGTGTCAGCGTTAAACGTGCCACATATCAACGATCTGATTGGTCGCCGCTCAGTTAATCTGCAGCTAATTTGCAAGTTGGTCCAGGAGGAGAGCAGAGAGAGGATCTGATACTGAGTGTCGGTAATGTTTATATTCTGTTGTCTGTCGCCTCATATTAACACATTCAGTTTGATGTGCCGAAGTACATACTTAGTAGGGTGTCTAGACTTTTGCACATGCCACAACTGTTATTTTATGTTTTCCTGTTTTTTAGGTTAATCCAGTATAAAGTAGCTGAGCATCATTCATTTTTCCTGCTGCTTTGCTGGTGACCAGTTAGTCAGCTAACTCGACCAGGTCATCTGTTTGAACCTCTAACAAATTCACATTAACATTTCTTTAAGGAGGACAGAAGGAAGTCGGAGCTCACTAGCGCACGTAGAAGTCACAGAACTCCTTGTAGACCTTGACGTCACTACGTCTCCTTGGAGAGGTGGAGAGAGGCACATTGTCCTCCCCGCCATTCTGTCCATGCTGGACCCCATTCAGCTCCACCTGTACGGCCTCACTCTCCTGGTTCTGGTCCTCCATGGTGGCCGACTAAGCCAGTGGTGCCACAGTAGAAAGGTGAGTGAGAGAAATCCAGAGGTAATCCACAAATCTCGGCCACTGAGAGAGAGTAATGTCCCTGTTAGCCACCCTGAAACAGCTCTGAGCAGTGAAGGTCCCCACCTCCTCATTCCTGTCCTCTCCCCCTCTCCCTCTCTCTCTTTCACCCAGTGAAAGGCTGGGTCACTCTTTCAAATTAAGAGCCTGGCTGCCTAAATCCAGCTGTAGAGTGGAGGAGTCAGTGGAGATCAGAACTGCACTGGTGTAGAAGCACAAAGCCATTTTTCAGATGAGGACACGAGTAAACTGACCTACACACCCTGTTCACCATCAGCAGTTTAACTAGTTTCATTTAACCTACATCATATTTGAATAAATCATTGTTTCAGAGTATCTTTAGAGTTGAAACCTGTTCAGCTGCACCGTCCATAAATGCTTTGTTCTGTAGACTCTACTGCAAAACTGGACAGTCTTCACAGAACAGTGGAGAAATTCCCACTCAATGTAATGAGATAATGTACTGCACGACTCAGTATTGCATCAATACTGCATTGATAAGCACATTATTGATTTAATGTGTGTGAAAAGTCCCTCTATTAGAGTGAATCAGGTGCCGTCTTTCTGTTGTGTATTATATTAGTGTAGTGGCAAATTTGTCGTCATTTCCCACCTGTCTAGTTTTATTTAGCTACACTCTCGAAAATGATGGTTCTTCAAGGGTTCTTTAGTAAAGACAATAGTTCTGTATAGAACCATGAACACTCAAAGAACCATTTGACCACGCAAAGGGTTCTTAACCCTAACACTCATAATAATGATGATTCATTAAGGGTTCTTTGGTAGGAAAATGGTTCTGTATAGAACCATGAACACTCAAAGAACCATTTCCATGATTAAAGGGTTCTTTGCATCATGAAAGGGTTCTTCAGATTGATGGAGAATATGTTTAATATGAATTTTTAAAAAGGTTCTAAATAGCACCTAAAACGGTTCTTGTATTGTTACAGGCTTGATATCGTCACAATAGCAGAACGCTTTTTGGTGCTACATAGAATCATATAGAACATGTTCTCCTTCAATGTGAAGAACCATTTCACAATGCAAAGAGCCTTTTAATCATGCAAAGGGTTCTTTGAGTGTTCATGGTTCTATATAGAACCATTTTCTTACTAAAGAGCCCTTAAAGAACCATCATTTTTAAGAGTGTACATATAGAGAACCATGAACACTCAAAGAACCCTTTGCGTGGTGAAATGGTTCTTCAGATTGATGGACAATGTATTGTAAATAGTTCTATATAGCACCAAAGACAGGTTCCTCTGTTGATACAATGTCAAGCTTGTAACAATAGAAGAACCCTTTTCGGTGCCATATAGAACCATTGTCTTTACTAAAGAACCCTTGAAGAACCATCTTTTTTATCTTACATGAGCTATGAATTGTATAGCTGCATTTGTGGGCGGAGCTCAGACAGGACGGTTGATGTCGATGTACTAATTGAGCCCATGATGGTTGTTTACTGTGAGACTCACAAATCCTAACCAGTTGATCAGTTTGGGCCTCTGACCTGTAAGTACACACCTGGGCATCTTGACACCTGTGGAATCTGGACAAAACATTATGTATTAATTTGTTAGTAGCATCATTATAAAATTAACATATTTCATTATAGTCTATTTTAAATTAAATATGAACATATTTTAAATAAAAAAACAATTAATAATAATAATTAATAAATAATAATAATTAATCATTTGAAAGGCTGAAACCTTAGCTTTAGCTAGAACACAGTCGTTAAGTTGGTTAGCAGTTTTATGCCACAGTTTAAGTTATTAAATAAACATTCAAACAAGCAGCACGTTTAGGCCATAATGAAGCTTTATTACACCTTAACGTCTTTTGTATAAGATGTTTATCAGTAGAAGCTCATTAATATCAGCAGTGTAGACTGACTGGAGCACCACTGACCTTCGAGATACAATGTTAAGTTAAATGAAAAACAGAATTACTTTAGTTTCCCCTGTTTTATTTAAATATGACCACAGGGGACTTTTAACAAAGCAGAGCTCCAGCTGAATTTTTCCCGACTCTACAAATAGACCAGAACCCTCATCTCCAAACTAGGCGCTAACAGCTGCCACTGTTTTCATACCAGACGAGCTTTTGGGTGGGGGGTGGGGGGGGCACTCTCCTGCTCTGTTTATATTCAGCCTGCCTTCATTTGGAGAATAACTGTTGTGTGTCACACGGCTGGTCAGGACATTAACACACCAGAGAACGTGATGACCAGTCCAGTCTGATCTCAGCCCTGCAGAGCAGTTTTACAGGAACGCTGTCCTAACTACACTAACAAGGACATCTAATCAATGCTCTGATTAGAGGGGCACTGATTAACTGATATCAGAAACCCTGAGGATCAATCAGAATTCATATCAGGGATGTAGCTGTTACACAGAGAAGTTGTTTGTAGAAGCAAAAATAAAGAGTTCATATTTATTTCTAACGTAACCTTTTAAAATGCTGAACTGCAGCTCCTCGTTTATGAATTATTATTATTCCTATTCACTTATGTTTATTTTTTATATCTATTCTTTCTTTGTAAAGCACTTCGAGCTTTCTTTTAACATACAAAATGTGTTGTATACATCAAGTTTATTATCCTTATTATTATTATTATCATTATTATTAATAATGTGTAACGTGAAGTTTTAAGTAAACAAAGTAAGAAAAACACTTGAGTGGTATAAAAATGGTCATTGTAAATGTTCTAAAGCTTGAATAAATAAATAACAAAATAAACTGACTAAAAGAGGCAATAACACTTCCCATGAATCCTGTGTTCACTGTCCTTTATAAATGAATTTATAAGGTGTTATATGACATACTTAACACCTCATAATGCCTGCCATACACTTAATTATTGTAACAAATAGTTGCTTAATTAATAATTGCTTATAAACAACAGTTATAAACAAAATGTTGTTTTTTTATAGCATGTAAGTTTTATATGCTATAAGAAAACAACATCCAGGTAAATGTCTGTTCATAATCATTTCCACCACCAACAGCTCTGAGATGGAGGCTGACCTTATGAAGTCATATACTTTTACTTTATATAGTCTTATACATGTAATTACAACTATTTAAGAGCAATTATACAAGCTTATGCTCAGTATTAAGGTCACGTATGACACATAACACCTTTTATAAGACCTTTATAATGCATTATGAGTACAGGATTCACAGGAAGTACTACAAACAGGCAGCTATTATGTCAAGTGAATGTTTGAATGGTTTGGACACGTCAAGCTGGCGCCTGTCCTGAATCACTGAGCCGCAGTAAACGACACCGCCACTGTTAAAAATACCAGCCAACCTCCACGACCATGAAACCTCTCGGTGGCACAAGGTCAGTGGATTACTGGAACACCAGGACCGGCTCTGCAGAGCGACACCGGATTCCAAACCTCACTTTAACCCTCTGAACTGCAGACTCATTATTTAGTTATTAAACTTAAGACTGTATTCAGGATTAACAGTTTATGACACGCCTTCATAGTTAACCCTTTAAATCTCAGTCTTAATACATACTAAGGCTTATTATTCAGTAACTACAGGGAATTTAATGTAAACTGGCTGAGCTGTTCTTAGGTTATAGAGGTGTGTAATAAACTTTGGTTATTAAGGGGTTAATTTGTAACTATGCAGTGTAGTTTTTGTTCAAACATTACAACAATATACAATATAATACATACACAGTCAGGTACGCTGCGTATGTGCCTGTTAGGAGCTAAAAATCCCATATAGCATGGCGCTAACCCTGCTAGCATGGTGCTAACATACCATGGTGAGGATATTAGCAGCAGCGCTGAAACAGATTTCTGAATTAGACATTACTGTAATGCTGTGTGGTTCTCTGTGTGAGCTGAACTCTCACTGTAAACAGATTTAATCAGTGTGAATGAAAGGCTGTGATCAGGATCCTCTGACTGCAGCGCTTCTCTCGCGCAGGTTCAGGTCTCTGTTTACAGATCGGTTAAGCTACAAACATCAGCACTCGTATTCAAGCAACCCAACAATGTAAATATTTACATTTTTATTTATTCCCACATTTCTGTCATGCTAGGATGTTATAAGCATTCAACGTCTGTTTATGCTTTGCCGGAAGTGCTTCACCCAAAGCATCATGGGACGCAGGAATAAGGTGGACAGCTGAGAACAGGTTTAATGATGCATGTTGAGTTTCATCAGAGGTGAATGCAGTGCTGAGTTTCTGCTGATGCTACAGGAGATTAGCGCATTACTCAGCACGTCTCGTGTTACTGCACCTTTTTTCCTTCAGTTCACCACCCCCAAAAAAATTACACCAGGGGTCACAACCCAAATGTTCAGAAGAGCCATTTTGTCCTTTCCACAAAAAATAAACCACCTTGGGAGCCACAACATTTATGTCCATTTTACCATCTTGGCTGTACGTATGTCTCAGTGTGTGCTGATGTACTAATATAGGATACCAAATATAATATAAATGAAAACACAGATTTACTTTACAGACCCATACAAGACCAGACCCCCCCTCTCTGAATGGGGAGAGACCCATACAAGACCAGACCCCCCCTCTCTGAATGGGGAGAGACCCATACAAGACCAGACCCCCCCTCTCTGAATGGGGAGGGACCCATACAAGACCAGACCCCCCCTCTCTGAATGGGGAGAGACCAAAACATTAGAAACTGAAGGTCAGACTTCAATTTAAAAACACACATTTGAAATCATCAGTAAAATCTGACTAAATCCTCATAGTTTGTGTCGTTTGGCTCAGTAACACACAAAAAACGTAATTTTCTCCACAACGAGGGAGGGGCTTTCAGCGCTAGTGCTGCGATGTCACCACCCCTTCTCCACTCACGGTGTAAACAGCGAGCTGATTGGCTGTTTTTTGAGTTGCAGGACT